TGCTCAACATCTATCTCATCACGCATCCCAACAAACAAAACAAAACTAAACTCAACACACACACTGGCTCTCTGCATCCGAAATCAATTATACGCATATTATATTTACACTCTCAATATGCACAAATCACTCACTCTAGCTGTAGACAGGATTCACTAGCTACACACACACTAGTGAGTTTTATACAGCACCATATACACCACCATCCAGCAGTAAGTTAAGTAGTCAAGTCAGTCAACCAACAAACACACAAAACAATCCACCAACCAGCCAACCAACCAACCAACCAACCACACAATCAACAATAAAATACAATCACTTACATCCATACAACAATAACACTGACAATTCATCCCGCCTAAGTAATTAAACACTTGCAAAATCAGCCTAAAATACACTAGACGTTACACCACCACCACCACCACTCAGAAACAACAACAACAACAAAATCACCTACAACTACTCTCATCCACATTTATTTATTTACACCATATACAACGTGTCGTCTACAACAATTGACTATACCAAGAAGAAAAAAAGCCAAACTCACTCCTACCGGTGAAAAGTCGGCCACAATCTAATTCAATCCAAACCATTCAAGTCAAATCCGATTCCATCCCATTCACATGCATCACCGACAAAACCATTCTCCATTCCTCTTCTCAAACCTAAAACAAAACAAAAAACACACTCCCAACATCAACTAATATCAACAATATACACCATAGTCTGAACAACAACAACAACAACAACAACAATACATCTCATCATTATTCATCAGAACAAAATATCCAATACATCACTCTCACCAATTTGAGAGTTCATAGTGGTGCATGATATATCATCACGAATACCTTAACATAGCAACACATCAATAACCAACCAACCAAGCAACCCAACACACCTACAATCAAACACAACACAACACAATCAAAATCCTCAATCAGCATAGATAGCAACTCAACCAGCCACACACACACACAAACACAAACACCAACTGTCAAATACAACTCACCAGAGATCATCACCATCGCCGCTGTCAACCATTCTCCTCCTCGTCCTCTCCTCTCCTCTCCTCTCCTACCGAAAACAAAACTCCACACACATCAGAAATCCCCCCCTACCTAGACGACACAAATCAACAACAACAAAGTAAAACAAACACTATCATATTCAAAAACTACCAAGACAACAACAACAACAACAACATTCTATACAATAAGCATCACATTTATCAGACTATAGAAACTGTAATCACACGGACATGCTCCACATCAGAGTCTGCCCTATGATTTGCATCATTACAAATACACACTAACTACTATCTCAAAAACAATCACACCAAACATCCCATACCATCAACAACAACAATATTCCACTTACTAATCACTCTCATGTCCACGAAAAACACCAACACCTTGGAAACACGCTCCATCACTCCAACGATCAGCTAAAACTCATCAATCCCACAGTTACACCTCCCCCCTCCATCCATTTCATGATAACCAAATTCACAAGCATCATTACAACACCATCACCAACCGACAATCCAATCCAATCCATCCTCATCTCCAATTCATCTCCAATTCCTTCAAAAATCTACAACGGAAAAAGCAACAAACCATTCTTCGTTAAATCAATTCAACACTCATCGTCATATCATCTTCACTTCTACAGAAAATAGTATATCATCAGAGTTAAAAAGCTCGTATATACATTGAGATCATCGTGCATACACTCAAAGTTCAATCTCTTAATGCTCATCATTATACACGGTCGTGTCTTGATAACAGCTCAGGAAATGTACACAACAAAAACCTACATCTCTTGTCTTCTATCAAAACACAACACATGCCTGCAGAAATCAAAAACACATACACACACACAACTCGATCGAACAAACAACACTTACCTTCCCGACTCCAATTCCTCCTCCTTCGAAGATCCATCAACACTTAGTCATCAGTCGAAAGATCCTCAGCTTAGTAGACATCATCTCGCTGGGTCCACTCCACTACACAAAATTACAAAATTCAACACCACAACTCACCTAAACAATACAACACAGCAAACCAAAGCAAAACAAAACAAAACAAAACGTCTTATTATCATCATCATCATCATCATCACATAACGCATACAGCAACACAAATATACACCACAAACAAATTATTCGTTCGTTTATTTATTGATTTACTCAGATGGTGTTGCACAGATCACAACCGATTCAGATGAAATCAAAGATTCGGTGGATAAACACTTTCATCATTAGAACATATTCTACTGCTCAACATCTATCTCATCACGCATCCCAACAACCAACCAACAAACAAAACTAAACTCAACACACACACTGGCTCTCTGCATCCGAAATCAATTATACGCATATTATATTTACACTCTCAATATGCACAAATCACTCACTCTAGCTGTAGACAGGATTCACTAGCTACACACACACTAGTGAGTTTTATACAGCACCATATACACCACCATCCAGCAGTAAGTTAAGTAGTCAAGTCAGTCAACCAACAAACACACAAAACAATCCACCAACCAGCCAACCAACCAACCAACCAACCACACAATCAACAATAAAATAC